ATAATAAAGGTTATTTGGTAACAATTATCATCAGATTCCAAAGGCTAAATAGTTGTCTTAACTACTTGATTCACTTGATACACTAAGTTTTTTAATGAATTTGTGAACTAAAATAGTATCTTGATATCTTGATTTAGTTCTGGTTGTAAAAACCTTTTTCTAATATTTTAAAGATATTTTCAATTAATTATTTCTTTTTTGATATCTACAAAAAAGGATTCAAGCTATTATGGTAATACTTTACAACTAATTTTCCTACACAGCAATATTTAGGAGCTTTAGCTTTCTTTATTATTATTAAGTCATGTAAAATGTTGATAGCCACCAAAATGGCATCCAATTTGTGAGGATTCTTATAATAAATATAATAAATATATAATGATTTTCATTTTCATTTGGAATAGCTTCTTGAAGGTTGTTAAATCCTTATTATGTTGTCAAATATAATAAAAGTAATTTGTTACCAGAATGAACTAAAACTTCAAGTTCTTAAGTTATTGTAAGTTATTATTTTCTTTAAATTGTTGGTCTATATTCTGATAACTTTGTAATTATTGATTGGCTGATTTCACTTTGTGGAATTCCTTCTCCAATTAACTAATTGTTTTTCTAGAGTATCTTTATCTGGAAATTATTCACCATAATTCATATTTTGTTTTTGCTGCTTCTTTTGCCAATACAAAATTAGGTTTCTTTTGTGTAATTAATAATACTATTTTCAAAAATGACCAGTTGTTTTTCATAACATGGGTCCTTTTGTTTTTATTATCTTTATTATTAATGTATTATTATTTAATTAAGAATCAAAGTTAATTGTCCTTTTGTTTAAACAACCCTTGAAAGACCATTTACCAGATGTAATAACAACCTCACAATTATAAATTTTCTAATATTGAACATAAATGACAATGTAGTTAAAATTTATAGGTTGAATATATCAGATAACTGAAGTTCTAACTTATTATTCTTAAGGGTTAAAATAGAAGGTTGATTTCATTACAAATTCTTCACTGCTAATACTTTTTTTTCCTTAAATAAATAACTTTTTAAACTTCATTAAAATTATTAAATATATCTGTGAGTGTGTTAATTGCTGAGAGATTATAATATGGCTGCAATTGGTGTGCTTATTATATAATAGAATCTCATGTAAAAAATAACAACTATGGCTGAATATTTTTTATCTTAAACAATTTTTTCATATCTTGTAGCCATTACTGTAATACATTGTGTTTTTAGCTAACATTTCTAACTGTAACACATAAATATTTTTCACTTTTAAAATATCTTTGTCATATATTGTCATAGCATATTTTTTTCTCCATTTATAATTACTATGGTTCCGTATATGTAAACTTGCATATTTCTTGGAAAGTGAAGTATGTACAAAATCCTTATCACTTGGATTAATTGACAGATATGAATTAACATGTGCTTTTTGGGTATTTTCATCTTGTTTACACTCTCTCAGTTGTTGTTTGGTATAACTATTATAAAGTTTATAATCAATTAGTAGCTAACCAAGCCTTTACTAGCTAACCAAGCCAAAAGTATTGAACCACATGATTATCATTACATAAATTGCACATAGCTACAGACCTCTAATAATATTCAAATATATATTTTTTTTAATGCCAAACTTAGTGAATTTGAATGGCCTCTTGAAAGGTGATTATAGTGAATGAAGTATTAAAGATATTCTTGACCATCCTAAGACAATTATACATAATATTATTGAAATATAAAACAGAACATCAAGTTTCAAATACTCCTAGGTCTGGTATACCACCAAGAGAAATGTTAGATATCTTGTAAAAATCATTAAAGAGGATAGACAACAATCTTTAGAAATTATAGAAAATTCAATGAGGCATCAATAACTTCAGTAAGTTCTAGTACTATAAAGTGAACCCTACATGCTGAAGGCTTTTATGGTCATGCTGGTAGAAAAAAGTTAGAATGGTGTCATTATTGGATTCTGAGTGGGATACAATAATATGGAATCATTTTTTATTGTTCCAAAATGATGCTTATAATTGCTGGTTTGCTCATGAAAATATGATGTAAGTTGTAATTTCTACAGTTAAATCAGGAAATCAAGGTTTGGGTGTTTTACAAAAAATAAGATTGGACCTTTAATTCAAGTATCTAGCAAAATAATGGGTTCTATATATCGAGATTTTAAAAAATAATCTACTGCCTTTTATTAATGAGTTGATTTGGAAAATATGCTCCACATCCAAAAAACCTTGATTAATGGTTGTTCTGGAGGAAATTGAACTAGGAATTTTAGAAAATTTAGTAAAAAGTATAATAGATAGCAATGGTTATCCAACTAAATATTAATTTTTTAATAAAAAATTTGTAAACTTTGTGATAATTTTAAAGTGATCCAATACTTTTGACTGGGATTATGAGTTCATTGAATTTTTGCTAAAGTATACTAATTTTTCTTGTTACTTATCATTTACAAATTTTTCAAATGTGAATGAACAAATTTTTGAAAAAGCTACTAATATATGCACAATATGCACAATATGGCTTAGACATATAATATGGCTTAGTGTAGTATGACAGAATAAGCATAATATAGTTGTTTAACATATTATACTTTAAGCATATTATGAGCTTATGGCTTAGCATAGGCTTAGTATAATGTGAGAACTGGACAGTACTAGATTGATAGGTTTGTTCAAATATTATTAGAGAATTTTAGAAACTCAGTAAAATAAAAAATGACCTCTGACTTTATTAAAAAAAGGAAATGATTCTAATAAATAAATTTTAACTTTATAAAAAGATTTTATAGAATCTAAGAAAGATTTATGGAATCATTAGAACCATTTTAAGATGACTTTGCTATTAGAGTTATTTAATTTAATGGTTATAAAAATGTAAAAAAATTTTTGAAAACTCCAACTGAATAAATTAGTTTTTATTCCGAAGAAACCCAGACACGTGATTATTTTTCTGAAGAATTTATTATAGGGATAATAAATGAATAAATTTATATAAAAATAATAAACATCAAAAATTATTGCCAGTCAAAACCCATTAGCTTTTGAGGTTTCTGTTTCTATTGACCCAATTAGTAGTCCTATTGGATTTCAGAACCCAACTTGTAATTTCAAGTTGATGCAATATAATCTAGTTTGATTTTAACAAGCTTGGCCTCAAGTTGGACTGAACCAGATTAATAACACTAGGCTTAGCATAATATGGCTTAAAAAATATGGCTTAGAAGTTCCTATTTTTAGAAGAACGATTCTTACAGTACTTTAGAACATATGAAAAATCACGAGTTATTGTAAACATTTTAATTACTAACTAGCTGTCACCCGTTGCTTCGCACCGGGACCAATGAGTTTTTTTAAATTTAATATGGTAATAATTAGGTAACAAAAAATATGTATTAAATTATATTTATAATATTAGAATGATATAAATAATAAATTATTTTTAAATAATGTAGCTATTTATATTAATGATTTGATGTTTGAGTGTAGAGTGAAATTCGGATGAATTAGGAATTGTGAAAAAATAATTATCAATAAAAATTGATTAATTTTTTAGAAGTATTTTGAAAAAACTTTAATATTATGAAAATACTACAAATATTTTTATTAATTAATTATAAATTTTATAATTATCTCTTATTATTTTATATTACGTCAATTTTAAACTTATAATCAACTTAGGAAAAATATTTGAACAATTAAATATTAGAAATCTGCTCATTTCATTTATTATTATTCTTTTGATACTCATTTTTATTCTATAAATTATCAATTTAACTAAACCATTTGAATTAAATTTTTTATTCAAAAATCTGGTGATTATTTAGAGAATTTCGGATATGGATTTGGTTATAATAGTCTATTATTAAATCAAGAATTTCTTTAATTAATTAATTATAAAATATTGTAAAAATATCAATTTTTTTTTGATTTTTATGAATTTGAAAATCAAACTATTTATCCAGCGTTCAATTTAATTGAAAATCTTAATCATCTTTCTACATGTTATTATAAAAAAAATTGAAAGAAAAAAAATTAAAAATAAATTTGGGGGAAAGAAAAAGGATAAAGAAAGAATCGGTTCAAAAAAAGGGAAATTTTCAAAAAAAAAGGAATCTGAAAAAAAATAAGTACCGAAAAATATTTTTCAGTTTGGGAAAAAAAATTAAACCTAAACGGGAAAGAATGAGAAAAAACAAAATTTTTCGGTTTGAAAAAAAAAAA